ATGGATTGGGGCCTTCTCTTATTAGTAGAATACTTAATAGTGTCTCTCAAATTTCTCAAGGTCACTAAGCAAATAGATTGCGGGTCCCTTGACAAATGCTTAAGTTAAATGTTTAGACTCCGGGATAGGTCGTTTAGCGAATTTCACGACCTTCCCCAAAAACAATAAAACGTGTAGTGGCTTTAGGTGCGTACTTTAATAATATCACTTTCCTGAATTCGGGTGCACATTTATGTGACCCAAATCCAAATCTCAACGTAGTCAAAGTGTGTTAACAATCACGGGTGCACTGGTGCGACGTGGTTCGAGATGCATTTTCACAGCGTTGCAATTCTTAAAAATAAAAATGAATGCGGTTTACTAGTAAAAGCACATGGGACATAACATGTTTTGAAATCAGATAAAATCAAATGCAACAGTTGAGCGACCGTGCTAGAACCACGGAACCCGGGAATGCCTAACACCTTCTCCCGGGTTAACAGAATTCCTTACCTGGATTTCTGGCTCGCGGACTGATAACAGAGTCATAATCTCCTCGGGTCGGGATCTAACCGGTGACTTGGGACACCACTAATTTCCTAAGTGGCGACTCTAAAAATTTAATAATAAATCCCGTTCCGATTGTCACTTCAAGTTGGAAATAACTCCCTTTATTATATGGTACTATAAAAGGAGGTGTGACAATGACAAATCCTGGTTCTTTCACAATGTTACATAAATCAGAGGACGGGCGCTTCATGTATGTTTTTGTCGCACTAAATGCATCAATCATAGGATGGAAATACTGTTACCCTATTGTAGTGGTTGATGGGACATTCCTCAAATCATCACACAGAGGAACAATGTTAACAGCTAGCGCACAAGATGCGGCAGGTGAATATGTTGCAGACTCGTATAATAATTATATATGGTATAGATAGTTCTTATCTGTGTATAACAAAAATAACATGCGGATGCTTTCTTATTTGCTTAACCACGTAAAGTTTTTCCACTAGCATACGCTGTTGTAGATTCTGAAAATGATGCTTCCTGGGAATGGTTTTTTGAAATGTTTAGACAGGCTTTTGGGGAAAGGGAAAGGATGTGCATCGTATCGGATCGTCATGCAAGCATATTGAGGGGTGCTTCGATTGTGTATCCAGAGGTATCTCACTGTGTATGCATCTTTCATCTTTGGAATAACATAAAGAAGCAGTTCAAGAAGAACTATGACCGGCTGAGGGAAGTATTTTTTGCAATGGCCAGAGCATACAAAATTGGAGATTTAATCGCCTCATACAAGATATGGACAACATTGATAAGAGGGTAAGGGGTTACCTATTCCAAGTTGGTTATGAAAAGTGGTCTATAGTGCATTCCACTGTTAATAGATCCATGGTGATGACTTCAAATATTGCCGAGTCACTCAATGCAAGGAACAAAAAGGCAAGAGAGCTACCAATCATGAGTTTGCTAGATTACATGATGAATTTGGTTATGGAATGGAATAATACAAATAGAATGATTGCAATGAGTACATTTATTGGCGTAGGAAAAAAATATCATGAAGTACTGAAGGAAAATAGCTATTTGTCGCAGAAGATGACGGTAAATATTTTTTTATCATGTCTTACTTCATACGCCGGAGTAACATACTTTGACAAAAATGAATTAATACTTGTCATATCCCTGTTTTAGTTTTACTAATGATATCTATTTAAATTTAGGCGAAGCCTTCAACCGATTATGTATATGTAGTAATGGATGCTGAACAAAGGCGGAACATAGTCTGCATGCAAAAAAGAGAATGCTCGTGCAAACGATTTCAAGTGGATGAGATTCCTTGTGCACATGCTATGGCAGTATTGGACTACACACACATGGAAGCACCCAAATATTTTTCTGACTATTACACCAAGGAATACTTCAAGAAGACATATGAAGTGCCAGTTAATCCACTTCCAGATGAAACTTCATGGGACCTTCCAACAGAGGTGTTAGATAATGTGGTCCTACCACCGATAGTGAAGGGCAAACCAGGAAGACCGACGAAGTCGCGACGCAGGGACTTTATGAATATCTGTATACTGAAGCTATTACATGTGGACTGTGTGGAAAATAAGGACATAACAGAAGAACCTCAAGACAACTAGTAGATGCTGCTACAATAATTTAGTATTTTCTAACAGTATTTCTTCTGAATATTACAATTGGAAAAATAATGAGATTTGCAATCAGATTCTCTATGATGTATGAATTAAGATGCTACTTTTTGTCATAATGAAAGTATTGGTGGAAGTTTTATTTCAAATACTATTATGGATGTCACTATACAAAAAAATATACAAAATAGATGACAATGTACAAAAAAGACTGTTACTATACAAAAATATACAAAATAGACTGTCACTATACAATTTATACGTAATATTTTGTTCCTATACAAAAACAATATAAAATAAACTATAGCTATACAAAAAATATACAAAATAGATGTCACTATACAAAAACTACACAAAAAGAGGGATTACCAATTAAATATACAAAACAGAAATTGTATATTTATACAATTTACATACAATGGACTGTGACTATCCAAAAAATATACAGATAGATATCACTATACAAAATAGACTGTCGCTATACAGTTTATATACAGTTAGTTCCCCCCAAAACATCGTTCACAAAACTTCCTGTAGCAACTTAGCAACACCAACTAAATTTGCAAAATCTATCGAAAATGCAAAATCTGTCGAAATAGATTAAACTGTATAAATTACAAAACTAAAACTGTAGAAAAGTCAAAACTACCCAAAATCTGAAATTTTCATAATTTCACTATTAACTGAAAACTACACAACAAGTCGCAATTAAAAGTAATATTCAACATTAGCATTTCAAACATATTGTTCAAAGACATCCCAAACAAAAAGCATAAAATGTGATATAAGTATGCAACTGTATCCAATCATAGATAATATCAGAACCAAACTACTTCCATCTTAAAACTACATGTGAATTTTCTGTTAAACTATCCCAAACTACTTCATGTGAATTTTCTGTTAAACTATCCCAAACTACTTCATCTTGCCCTTCAACTTGCCCTTTTTCTTGATATCCTTCAAAGTCTCGTCATCACCAACATCATGCAACTTGCTATTTTTCTTGATATCCTTCAAAGTCTTATCATCACAAACGGCATGCGTCTTGCCCTTTTTCTTGTTATCCTTCAAAGACTTGTCATCAACAACAGAATGCGACTTGCTCTTTTTCTTGTTATCCTTTTTTGTCTGATCCTTCAATCTACCAGTAGACTCATCATCACTAGCTGCATGTCCTCTTTGTTTCTTCACTCCATAATCCCATAGCAATATACCATATCGGTTTCGTATCCCATCAATATCAATAGCTTTAGGAATACTGCTGCCTTGAATGATGTACTCAGCAAATGCAGCAACATAAATACCACAATCACTACATAAAAGGTAGCATATAAACATTGAATAAAAGTTAGGATAATATCCAAATAGGAATTCATGTACAAAAAATGAATAAGAATCAGAAATATTCAATAATAATTTACGTGTTATCTTGCATTGGCAACCCATCAACGACATGAATCTCAAAAGGATCATTGGCGGGGATCCCCATAGGATTCTCCTTTGTGTCCCAAAAACCAATACGATGAAGGAAATATGGAATCATATACATAAATGCACAGATCTTTGAATGACAATCTCGCCAATATCCAGTGCCACTTATCAGACAGATTTATAGGGAAAAGGACTTCATCAACAGTAGACCAAGGAACATTACATCTTAAAAAATACCCAAGTATATACTCAGCAATTAGATCTATTTCATTAATCAAATTCATGTCTCTATTTTTCTCCAAAAACTCCTTGTACAAATTCGAAATCAAGCAGTTAAACCAACAGTCAGTAGTTGTGAATCTTACTGGAACATCAACACCGTACTTCCCTTTCTTTCTCAAATAGTAAAAAATTACATCAATATGCTGAAATATGAAGAATAAACACACATAGTCAGAAAATTACAGTATGAGAAAACTAAAAATGTATATCACCAGTTTATATTTTACAGTTAAAGCGTTGACTTACTGAATCACACAAAGGTAGGTGGGGATATGCAAATGTGAAGAACCATTTTTTTCTCCAATATCATCAACTCCAAATTCAAAGATTTTCTTTAGCTTATTGCTAGCCTCTGTATAAACACCGTCCCTGATGAACCATGATAAAAAGATATGGTTCATAACACGAAAATAAACAAGAAAAAAAAGAAAAAAGAAAAAACTGAAACACAAAACTTACGGCGCATTAGTCCTTAAGCCTCTATTGATGAAAGTGTTCCACTTACACAATACTTTGAAATCAACAGGATTGTCAACATTTCCCTGAAAAGGATACTTAATAGTCAAGATGGGCTTCTTTGACTTAGTTGGCTTATTTTCAACAACTTGGATGGTGCCACCAAAGTCAAATGTGTTCATGAATGGTGACTTCATAACCCCTGCTGGTTTCCTTTCTCTAGGGTTCATTTCAGGTGTGTCATGATTAACAACTATTCGACCTTCCTGCATAGTAGCAATATTTTTCTCCACTCCTAAATCACCATGTTCAATATTTTGATTGAAATACTATTGGGTGATTGCAGTTATTTGAGCCTCAACATCACTACTCCAGCTATTGTCCTCACCAACTTCCTCACAACTATTTTTACCAAGTTGTACAGAATCATCCACCAAACTCCCCATATTAGCAGTATTTTTGTCACAAAACTGCTGGGTGATTGCAGTGATTTCAGGCTCGACATCCTCAATCCAGGCTTCGTCATCACCAACTCCTTCACTACTTTTACCATCTTTTATAGAATCCTTCACCACACCCTCCATAACATCAACAGTTTGCTGTAGACTTACCTCATTGTCAACATTTTTCTTTACAACTTCTTCAATGCCAATATTTTTCTCCATAACTTCCTCACTACCAAAGTTATTCTCCGAAACGTTCTTATCATGATGGTCGTCATCTTTTCAGTTACCTGTTCAGAAAAAATATACAAAAAGTTGTAAAAGTATAGTAAAAGGTAAAAATAACAAATAAGCATAGTCATGAGAATACCTTTGAAGCATCGCGTTCACCTAGAGCTTTAAAAACCTTTTCGAATGAGGAAATCATTAAGTTCTCCAAAGATGAAACCTTGTCGTTTACCTATAAAAGGAAAAGTGAAACCAAATATCAATTAAGCTGTCAGAACTGCTGAAAGACAAAATAGAATGTACTTTCTTGATTTCATGTAACACCCCGTAAATTTGAATCAGTTGTGGATGCACTAAACAAGTATTAATGTGATGGTTATCAATTGGTTAGGATAATAAGAGTACGAGGCATATCATAAGTGATTTGGGATCCAAGGAAAGACCTAAGTCTAAGCCAAGTTGGAAAATTACATGATAGACTAAAATTCTAAATGAGCACGCACAAGACTATACTTTGGACGAGAATATCTACATTTATATAAGGTATTATGTGATTCACAACCTATCAAATGAAAGATCTTTGAGTTTAGTTTCTAACGCTTCAAACCGTTCGTCATTTGGACATTCCTACAAGAAGTTATGACCAAATTACTAAAGACATACCACCCAATTATTTTGGCGGACAGCGAAGCGAGCTCACTTCGCCAAAGTAGACGCGGATTTTTCTCTTCCCTTGAATGCAATGGACAGAGAAGCGAGGACACTTCGTTAGAGTAGACGCGCCCCAGTCCCAGCTCTTTTAAGCCAATTTTAGGGTTTATTTTTGCCTATTTCTTTTGGACGAATTTTGGGGTCTTCTTCCACCCTCTCAAGACCTCCAACCCCTCATATCTTCAAGGTAAGCAATCTTCATTAACTTGGTATGAAATTCCATCATTTTTACACTAGTATTGATGAAATCTACTCATAAAACACATAGATCTTCAAGAAATTCCTTCAAGAATTCAAAGGAGGGTTTTGCAAGATTTCTTCCAAAAGGTAATCCTACACCCTTAGACTTACATGTATTAATTTATTATGGGTATGAGTATGAATTAAATATTGGGACTCTTGGTGTGGTGATTAGAAGCCATAAGTTCCTAATATAAATATACAACTATTATAGAGATTGAAAGATGTTTATTTAATGGAACTTTATTGGTTAAGGGTGTTGTTTACCTTATGGGTGATGAAGAATAATATTGATTATAACCATTTGAGACTTTAGAATTTATCCAAGAGCAAGAGAATCGGTTATTGGGTGTAGAAAAACCATTAATAGGGATTATGAAGCTTTATACTCACCAAGTGTTTGATAAAATGCCTAAGTGACCAAAACATGGATGTTGTTGCTAATTTGGAATCCCTTTGAATTTTATTGATATAGATTAAAGTTGAAAGGGCTGGCGAATGTTGTATTATGCTCAAGAGAAGGAAGTTAAGGTATGTGAGGCTAACTCTCTATGTTTGAAAATTTTAATGATTCTCCCTACATTACGTTTCTTTTATAACGTATCAATTGCCTCAGAAATGTAGTTAAGGCCTAGTCCCTTGAATAGTTGTAGAACTTCTGTTCTCTAATTTCATAACTCGTTCATGACTTTCATTTTAAACGTTGTGAGCTCAGTTCGTATTCAATATAGACTTGGGCTTGATATCCCTAAGTCTCAGTATAGCTTACTCAGCATGTCATAAACATTTGAAGTTTAGTGTTCATAACCAGTTCAAGAATACATGTCTCATTCTAATCCTATACAGTATTCCGGTATTGTGTATTGCCGTATGATTCTCAGTTCCTGATTTTAAATCCCTGAATGTTGAACACCTATATTTGGGCCTGATGCCGCAGCTAATGCTTTATGCATCTTTGGGCCTGAGGCCGCAGTTTATGCTTTATGCATTTTGGACCTGAGGTCGCAGTTATGTATACGTATACTTGGGCCCGAGGCCGCAGTTTGTGCACATATATATATTGGGCCTGAGGCCGCAGTTTAATATTCAGATAAACAGGTTATTCATCATTCAGAAGAGGGAGTATTCATATCCTTACTTCCTTTATTCAGTTCAGTTATCAGTTATCTTTTCAGCTATCAGTTCAGTTATCAGTTATCA